CTCCATGCCTTTGCGCGCTGATGGAGCCAACCTTAATGGCCACTTTCCGCTATGCCATCTTGTCAAAAGCAAGCAGTTAACGCAACCCATCTAGAATCGCAAAGCATTTTCGCCCAAACCCTCTTAACCCTAACTTCCAGTTCGTCTGGAAGAAGCGCTGAAGAATAGAGAGACTCTACTATTATCCAGTTTCTGAAATTCTGATCGCAATGTAACCTGTAGGTGAACATGTCTCCAGGCTATAATGAAAGTTCCTCCTACGCCGTTCGCTAAAATGAAAACTTCAGCAAAAGGATATTTACAAGTTCTTCTGCAAATTGAGAAAGTCTAATTGTGACTGGCTCAAGCAACTCCTCCACAATCCATTCATTTGAAGTCTGATAATTCCTACTGTAGAAACTCTGCTTTTCGGTAAAACTGCTTTTGTTTCTTTTTTAATAATTCTACCTCTGTTAAATTCGCATACATTACTCTCTTTTAAACGTTTGCCCAATGTGCTAAGTTAAAGTGATATAACAAATCCGCGCCGTGTTAACCCCAAATTTCTTTTACTGATTTGAGTTTAAGGCTCAGAACTCAATAAAACCTCCGTCTTCAAAAGTCTTTCAAGTTACACGAAAGTACAAATCCACAAAAAGTTACGCTACGCAAACATAAACTATGAAAACAAAGAATAATGCTATCTTGAAAAATTCCTTTGTTCACCATATGTGATGAGTAGATTCTTTCAATACTAGTTGTGTTTTTTTCATATATTGGCGCTTTTTCGACAAGCAAATCGCAAATTCTTTTTCAGTTTTTTTAGTAAAACACATTCCAACATCCTAAAGAGAAGGAAGGAAGGGGAATTTAATTGTTCAGAAACAATCACAACTTCTGAAAGACGTTATTTAATTGACCTAAATATCTGATTACGTAGTGAATTAACTTGTTCAAAATTTTTTTCTACTTGCGATTGAAATTTGCTCCATATAATTTTCTTACTGTTTATCACCAAAAAATTGCAAACATCTATGAAAACAATACCCGCAGAGCCTTGAAAGAAGTGCTCCTTTGAGCGGTCCGTGGTATTGTTATTGATAAATAGCCACTTCCTCGTTCGTAACGTTCATCAGCCATACTTCAATTAACATATGGATAGGGGCTGGCATCAAAGATTTAGGAAAATTAATATAAACAAACGTTATTCTTAAACATTTTGATAATATTAAACGAACTTATACAGTTTCATACGAACTACCAGTAAGGATGAATTGAAAATTTAAGGAGCTCTAAAAAAGCATTCTAAAACAATGCAAAAAGAAATGGCTTTGAAGCTAAAAACATTCTTTACATGTGTGTATTCCTCACTTAGAATATTATGGATATAATTTTTTTGTTGTCCTCATACAAATAATAAAAAAGGATGAGTGTTTGGAAAGTGGCTATCTACATTGGCAGAGCGGTGAAGTAATTAAAGAAGGTGTAATGAACACATCAACAATAAAGCTACAAGAAAAATAGAGAAACTATGAAATCTAAAAAAGTTGAACCTTTTTCAGCATGCAGAATTGTACAGGAAGAATTAGTGCCGACCAGTAAATTCTTCTTCAGCCAACCATCTTTGCCAACAATGATAACCCATCTTTGCCAACAATGATAACCGATTTCTGTTCAAAAGTCAGCTGCCTCAAACTAAGAATGGAAGCGTAACAAAAGGTGTTATACTGCAATTATCAAATTATCACAAAGTCCCTGATTTCTGCCGACTTTATTTGGTCGCTTTAAACTGTCATCGTACACTCCAACGTCTCATGTTGGCAATATTCCAACATGCCGGGATCTCTACTTCTATCCTGTTTCCGTTAGTATGCAGGCGATTACTTCTATCCAAACATAATTATAATAAACACGGCACTTTTAAGTGTAACTTTATTAATTCGTGTGGTTGGCAGTTTTAATGCGTTAACTTTTAATTAAACGAGCTACATGAAGAGTTTAAAGTTTACCTGGGATTGCAGGCTCTCCGCCAGACATTTACATCAACCAGGTATGAAGTTACAGCAAAGATTGACCTTCTAGGGGGAGCGTCATGTATCCTGTAGGTCAAGCAAAGGCTTAGGAAGTGATTCTCGTGAAATGCAATAAAGATCAAAATTTTTTTCAGTGAGATGTATACCAGGGAATTTAATTGCTTCTACGCGGGCAATATTATACGATGATATTTTTTTCAAATTAATCTTCACCGATACAGTTTTCCAGTGTATTTGTTATAGGGAAGTGAAAAATGTTTAATTTATATTTTGCAGTATTTAAAAAAGATTGTTCAAAAACAAAGAGAGCGGACAGTTCTTAAAGTAATATACGCAGTACTGAAATATTGAAATAGAAATTTCTGAAGGAAAATTTGTATACGGTAGCAAATTATGGTACGAATGAAGTGCACTTAGTAACTTAAATGTAAAAAATTTCAAATATACAAAAATGCGCTTCTCCAACTGAAAAAAAGTAAAAAACAAAGTTGCAGATGAATAAACGTGCAAAAAATGAAAAATCACTCACAAAAGTCTGAAGGTTTCCACTTCTGTTATTTTCAGTCTTAGACTTCTGCCCAACGTATCTCTCAAAACGAATCGAATAAAGTGTAAACAGCTCTATCAGTTACTTCGTTACCTGGATTTAGAAAACTAAAAGTGATTAAAATTTCTTATTTTTTGTTAGAATAGTAAAGCGGAAAATGAAAATAAAATTTGCAAAAAATTCAGAAAATTTCATCAAACACAAGAAGTATTTGATAACCAAAGGCACTCTAAAAAATACCTAACAGCCGAAAGGTCATCAATTCACTTCCTCCACGGACGCCTATTACCAGTCGTCTAACTGACATGCAACTATCTGAGTTGAAGCTTTCGGAATTTTTTGACTCTTTCAAACCCAGGCAAAGTTTTGGAATTTTAGGTTGCATTTGACTCTTTCGATCGATCTGTTATTGAGAAAGTGTCGTATTTAGTACATTTGTTGAAAAGGACAGCAAGATCTGCAGGAGATGGATTTCCATTAAAAACTGAACGTAGTCTACTTGTAACGGAACCTATAAGGGGAGAATAGCTTTGGGGATAAGTCAGAGTTGTAGCTAAATAGAGTTATTTAGTTTACTTTCATTTTAGAAGACAAGTGAACATTCTAAAGTTGTTGATAATGTGAACTTTCTTTTAAATCATTTAGAAACACCTGCTGAGAATATTAGTCACCTGTAGACAGAACTCGTTAGTGCGCAGAAACTACTAGTTTAGCTAAGTAATGCTTCACAAAGCCAAGAAGGAAAGCTAGTCTGGTCAATCTTCCAAATACAACACTATGAGCAACATGATTTCTTCAAAAAAAAGTTTCCAAACAGGAAAATCAGATAAGGTGATTGATTATTTAACATTGAATAGGTCAGACAGAAAAAAAAGTAGATAAAGCAGGACCTGCTGAAAATTGTTGCTTCTTCTGTAAGAGAAATCATTTAGCCAGAACTGTCTCCAGTATTCTACTCCTCCAAATAAGCACAAAAAAGCCATCTGACTTGCGATTTACTTTTAAATCTAAAGAAAGGATTAGAAGCTATAAAAGTAAGAATACAGAGAGTAGAACTTATTGAAAGTCTCATTACTTATTGGTGTATGTGCATTAAGGTAACTTAAGAAGTTCCATATAAGTCAATAATTTAGCAGTGAGTAGTAAACTGTTTCGTCTTCTACTGGGACTTTTACCAATCAGAAAAATAGTTTTTATTTGATAAGTTGCTCATTTTTTCTAATTCGCAAAGGAATTAAAATTAAAATTTTAAAAACCTAGCGAA